TGAGAGCTTCTCCTCCTGGCCATGGTGTATCCATTACCTTCACCACATCCAGAAGGGAAGTCTTTCTACTGTCACACCTCCTGCTAGCGCTTTGCTACAAACTTGACCAGACGCTGGTTTCTCCTACTTTGAGGTCGAGTTGAATTTTGGCGGTGAAGGAGGCAACCCCGAATCGCATCCACCAGGTTCGAGCGATGCCCCACGCAACGAGGGTATCAAACGTGCGGAGGACCGCACAGAGCACTATGATGAGTGGCTTACCAATAGGCTGAGGGATGCCTAGACACCATCACTTGTCGGGGTTCTACGAGTCCCCAGCTGCTAGAACAAATTATTCTATGAACTTTATCGATTATCTGGTGGAATAAATTCTGTAGATCAGTTGTAATTGGTTTGGACTGTCTCAACTGCTATTCGTTTGAAGGCGACAGCTCCCAGTGACTTCGTCAGCTTGAAGTTATGTCTTTCAAATGCCATTCCCACTGCTTTCTAATCCTCCGTCTAGCAGAACTGGAATTTCACCATTTATTAAGCCCCCATCCCTCCTTTTTTTTCATGTTAGTCCACTGATGGCACTACCACCAAAATGTTGACGGCTACGTCATCCACCACTGGTGGCGAGATTGCCACACCAGCACCGACGCAGACACCACCGGGTCGCGTCCTCCTCTTCTTCTCCGTCAATACGTCGGGATGCTTCTGCGGTGTCGCGGAGATGACCAGTCCTGTGGACAAAATGAAACAGTTGGATATTTGGCAGGACAATCGGTGGCGCGGTGCCTTCAAGGTGCGGTGGATCTATGCCAAGGTGAGGCGTTCTTCTCTCTTCATGGCCGCTAGACTGCTCTCTCATCCGCACTGGACTAGGTCACTTTGAAGGTGGACTCTGCTTGCAGACTTAATTCTAGCCTTAGAATTCTGTGCAGCTCATTTACATTTCATTGTGCTCCTATTGCTGTCGGCTTTTGCCGTCAAAGCCTTTCATGTCCACTGTTTTCACCGGCCCGAGAGTCTAGCCCTATAATTATGTGAACCCCGTGCTCTAAGCCTGTTATCCTACTCAACGGTGAGCGGAATTTCTTCTGGCCTTGGGCTACTCATGGCAAATTCATTGAAAACGCCTTCTAGGCTTGCAACGAAGGGTCCGTGAACTTTCTTCTAAACAGATAGGCTCCGCTCCTAACTTCCAGCAGTTGCTTTGTCGAATTTCGAGTTCTATGGAAATATGAACTGGCGGAACTGGATGAGGCAACGTTTTCACGCCTGCGGGGTGGTAGATATCGTCCGCGTGATGTTCTAGGTTGTCCGATCTCGGAACCTTCCTTGTTGCGCATTCTTCTGACCTACTTCCAACCCTGTCCTAGAAGCGAGTTCCAGGTCTCCCTTACTGCCCTTGTCACTCTCACTTCGCCCCAGAACTTCAGCGAATTTACTTAAAGATCGGCTCTTTGATTAATCCTCTTTTCTCCATCCTCCATGTAGAACGTTCCAAACCGTCTCCTGCGCCACATTCAAGTTGAGACGACGGAGAATCGAGCAGTGACGCACCTTCGAGATACCAACGAAATTTTGCCCGCATCGAAAGGCGAAGAAATGCTTCAGATCATTCACAATAACTAGTGAGTTTACCTTCCGTCTAGCCCACTGCCTTGCCTTGACTGTCTGTGTTTCCCGCCTTACCTCATGAAGTGTTGGAACTACTCGACTTAGTCGTTGTCAGTGAAAATTCTTCTACAGCCAATGATTACAAGCCCTTGAACTGTCACTCCTCCATTCCACCACTTGAATTACTCAAACAGGAGACCGTTCTCTGAGAGTAATCTTGGTCATTCTTCGTGGAAGCTCCTCATTGGGCTACCAGTTCTTGAGCTCTTCAATCCATCTAGTCGAGAGTCTAGGGCCCTAAATCAGAAATAGACTGTTGAAGGAACCTTGAAAGCTGTTGCACAAGTGACGATCTCGAGTTCCTGAGGTGTTGGCCACCTACTCCATATGCTGAGATCAGTCCACCCTCATGATTGGTTGATCGTGACTTTCCATTTAAGTAAGGGAGTTGGACTCCTTCCAATTGCATCTACTTCGACGACCGTTCATCTATTCAAGAGTTGTCAGTTCATACTTTAACACCATACGATCATGTTGTTTTGTACTTGTCAAAGTTCAGAATAGGTGGCCATCTTCCATGACGGCTGACTAGTTCAGAAGTTTGGGGTTCTTAATCTTCAAATACTCACCATTTTTTCATAGGGAACCACTTTTCAATTTGGTAATCCAGGGTTCTTGAACTCTCCATAAGAGATGATGATGCTGCGAGGCAACCAAGATGGAGAATACGAGTTTTTGGCATTTTTAGCACCCATTCCACGTAGAAGTTCTTCTCAAACAAAACCACGTGTGAGTCCTTGAACCCGTAGGTATGCGAATTTCATGTGTCAAGAGTCGAAGCCCTTCCACGATTGATGAAGGCACCGGAGTTGTCAACCACCTATTCAGTTTAGTAATTCAGGCTGGGTCTTCACAAGGCTATCAAGCCGCGCCTCTTTTTCCTGCTTCATCGGGGTGTCTTTCTTTGTAGATTTGCCGCACGGTCCAGTCTACCAGCGTGTTTCCATTGTGATTTCTCTCTTTCCGATAGTATGTGTGTGTGTGCTTGCTTACTGGCTTGTTTGAGTGTACAACTTTTTCCTCCCTCCCCTCTCCCCTCGCCGTCCCCTGCCTCTCCACTCCTTCCTTCCTGGTCGTCTTCGGCTTCCTCATTCATGCTAATCGATCTCCGCTCTGCCTGTGATTCCGACATTTCATCCACCTGCCATCCATCCACCTCCTCAGAGCCTAGCTGAATACCGTATGTGCCTTTCTCAAGAATATACGTTGATGATGATGATGTGACGGGACGGGACGCTCACGTTCTGTGTACTTCGCTCCGACTGCCCCACCTCTCCCCTTTTCTCGTGGTCTTCTACTTTCACCTTTTCCCTCCTGGTTCTCCTTTTCTCCACTCTCTCTCTCTCTCTCTCTTTTAAGCCTTGAGACTAATAGAACGAATAAAACTCCCTTATATCTTCCGAGGCAAAAAAACTGCTTTTTGTTTTCTTTCACTGTCGGTTGGCGGGCGATTTGCGACTCTGTGGAGTTCGGCGGTGCCATTTTCATGGCTGAAGGGTGTGTGATTCCAAATCCATCTCTTGAATAACTTGGAAGTTTGAAGCCGTTCATCGTTGATGTAATCTCTCCAAGTGTCGAGAGTGTTCATTTGGAGGGAAGGTGTCTGGCCAAAGCTTCGTGGAATATTTTCCACGGCTGGAGGCGTTCTTGAAATGTCTCGAAACCGGTAATCCAATCCGGTGTCAGTGCTGCGGTAATGCGAGTTCTGGATCTTCCCTTTCTATTGGTGAATTCATTCCTTCGTCTTTGTGAAACACTATCGACATCGCATCCAGAGCTATTTTTTGGAAAGGGGTTTGGATTTCCAAATCAAGGAGTTTGGTTCCACCTATCTATGAAAGTGTTTATTCTTCTCTCCTCCCTAAAATCGCTGAAGCATCGTAGTTTGGAGTTCTTGAATCGTGTTGGAATGTTCGACAACCGGTTGGGAGCTATTTTTGCAAGTCTTGATTCCCAAAATTCTTCCATGTGTGACCTCGGATTACATGGATGTCTCGACCCGAGCAATTAGGTGACAAAAAACTTCAAGATGGACGTCTTTATCCGCGAACGAGTGTCCAGGCTGGATGGTGCGGCGTGTGCGTCGTGCGTAGCAGGTGTCTAAAGGCTGAGCACACGTGGTGGTTCCATTCTCACGCAGCCATGGCGAGTGGAAGTATTTGGTCGGCCTTGACCTCTGAGTGATCAACATGACGCACTTTTGGCCAATCGGAGGAGGAAGGTCGTAAATTGGACAATAAAAAGAAAATTTTTAGGAAATCAGGTCACCTCCAGAATACCATCGTCGAGGAAGTGTAGATCTGTAGCCGTGGGACATGAATTCCCTCCAAAATTTGATTACGAAACCGGTGTTGGTAGATAGAGGTCGCAAGATCGTCATTCCTAGAACCTTTTCCAACATTGAAACCCTCCTGTTTTCCTTGCTGAAGTGTTGGAACTATCCTAACGGCATCAATGGAAATGCGGTGATCTTCTATTCCTCATCCTATAGCCCCTTCAACGAACCTGGTACTACCTCCAGTCGTGGAATTACCCTTCATAATTACAGCTGGACCGGTTCTACCTCTTCAGTCCTAGAACCCAATTCAGCGCTCTCTCAGGAAGTCATTTGGGTAGAAAAAGTCTTTTTTTCACATTCTCACATGACAGCGTTGGATTCTACACTTCACGGTACAAAACTTCCCCGTGGAAAGATTTGTAGTTGATGGGTGGGAGGGAGGCAGGCACTTTCTCCTTCACATCCTCCATGCTTCTCCTGACAGACGACTGGACTGGCACGCCGCCCTAGCGTCAGACAATCGCATAATTACATGTGACATGAAAGTGACAGTTTGGCAGGAATGGAGACGGTTGGTAGGCAGCTTGTGCTTCCTCAAGAAAAGATGGTAGATTAAAATATTGTAGAAGGGATTACTGGACGATTTGGAAGGTCATAATTCTGGAACGTGGAACCTCTTATAATGGCGTAATTATTTAGCCACGGAAGTTCCACCGTTAAACCGCTGGGCCCTTGAATCCATCTGATGTGAAACCTCTTTACCGGTTACAATTTTCCGTCCAGCCATTTGAATTTGGCTTGGAAGTTATGCTGAAAAAATTGAAGCTTCTAGACCTTCATTCATCATGGGAACGCTTCTAGTGCAGGAATTGTTCTGGGTGCTCCTTGCAGGAAGCTGCAACGATGGCTTTGTGTACCTCGGGAGATCGTGAACTCCTGATTTTCATTTCAGTTCATTTGTCTTTTTGTCTTTGTTGAAGACAGTGAATTGCCATCTAATGACTTTTGTTGTAAAATTGAGCACCCCAAATGCGCCGCCGGAAAACATGATCCCGAGTCGGAGCTATTCATCTCATTCCTATTGTCTACTTTTTAAGGGTAGAGGATTCAACTTCTCCTGAGATGAAGACACGATGAACCGGGAGCCTTACTTCCAGAAACAACAAAACTCCGGCGTGGAAAGATCGAGTATTCTAGACGTTATTTGGTGGCGAAAGTCTTTCAGTGCTCAAAATATACCATCCACGCCAAATCTGGTATAGGGAGGTCGGGGGTCTTAGTCTTTAGCGATGTAATCTTCTTCATTCTCGACACCACTCGTCGTCGGAACCCAGGGCTTTGAAATCTCCGCCTTTCTAATGAGAAGATTTTGTTTGGTCGAGAAAAGTTGTCGTGGTGTCTTGACATCCGCTGGGAGTGTCGCTCCTTCCAGTTGGATACTATTGATATTTAGGCAGGAGCTGCTACAATGACTTCTGATTTCTTTGAATTTCAACAACTTCTAATGTACAAACTCCCCACTTTTCCGTTTTCTTGACGCGTTTCGGCAATCCTTGCACGGATTCTTCACACCCAGAAATCAAATAGGTTTAAATGGAGGCGGAAAGGGCTAGCTGGAGGTAGGACCATCATGTAGGCCTTCAGTCAGTCACTCTGAGCTGCGTAGACTATAGACGATGGGGTAAAGTCTTGTTGAAGTTTACGTCAGACAGCCGCCCTCCTCGCCACAGGCGGACTTGACGAGCGTCGTCTCCATTGTCTGGATACCTAGCCGGTCCAATTGAATCAACTCACTTCTGACTACTCTCATTAATGTTCTTCAGCAATTCTCGGGAAAAAAAAAAGCAAAAAAACCACAAAAAATATTAACATAAAAGCGGAAAAGTTAAAGTTGTGATTGGCTTGAAGTTGACCAATGGAGGTTGTCCTTTAAACCCCATCAGCCAATCACAATGCAGTGATTCTGGCGTACATCGGAGAGAAATTTATTTAGTAAGGAATTTTGTTTACGAGACATCAAGCGACGGGAATGTGTTGTTAACCGGTCATGAAAAACCATCCAAGGTCATCAAGTGCGTCTTATGGACGTGAAAAATGTCACGGAAAGAACGGGCGAACGAGTAAGCGTTTGATGATGACACTTCGTCGTTAAGCTGCTTTGCGTCACGTTTGTCGGTGGTGGAAAGGGCTTCAGGCATTTGTCACTCGCATTCACCCATATTTTGGTTCTCAATTTTAAACTGCATAGTTTTTCTCCTCCTCAACTTGAGCTTCCTTGTTTATTGTGCCTGCAATTTAGTCCTTTAGACGGGCTATCCATCAAAAACGAGGGCATAAAATTGCCAAATCGCGGTTTTGTAGACATATAAAAGTCTTTTAAAGTAGCTGTGATGACTGTAAATGTCTTGAAACTTAATTTGTTGCTCTTTTTGGTGTGTGGAGAACTTACTCCGGTGAATCGGTGTAAGTGGTAGGAGATGGTGAAATGCACGCGGTTGCTGTTTACACGTGCGTGTGCGTATTGCAAAGTCTAGATTTGCAGAAATCTTTCACTACGGCACTCTTTACTGTGTTCTCAACTCCGCTTCCATGGTTACGGAAGATAGCTTCTAGTCAAATTTGTTGCGTAGCGCTAGCGGAAGTTATGCTGGAAGGGCATCTTACCACTTTGACATGAACCACCCAAGATAAACGGATACACCGTGGCCAGGGGGAGGGGCTCTCACCT